GAGCCCCCGCGCCCGCGGCCCCCCTGTCCCTCCGAGCGCTTCTTGGACAAGGCGACAGCTTCGGAGAGGCATTGATATCTTTCGCTTTCGCTTAGTTCTTGGCGCTGTTTACTTCTGGTTTATATTCTAGCATTGGCGGAAGTAATGAATTCGTCTATAGACGGTTCAGTTTAAGCTGACTCGGGCACTGTCGGCTGTAGCTACAATCGTGTAGCTACAAACAGGGACGTCAAATATAGGGACGTCTCGGCGCCTGCGAGACTCGGGGTAGGCCAACCCGCAGTACACGCTTGCTGTGCAGGTAAGTTTTGGCCTACACATCAGGGGTCATGACAGCTTGCAGGCTCGTAGGAGCGAATGACGAACGGATGAAGCATCCTGGTGGCCTTGTCGTTTGCTGCTACACGTGTGTACTAAACAGGCTAATAAGGCTGTGTCGGTGTACAACTGTAAAGCTGTGTAGTTTTTTAGAGTTTTTGGTCATAGTTTAAAGAAAAACGAATTTAAGGCTGCTGTCTAGATTTCTTTAATAATCATCTTTATGTATACTCTTTGTTGATGCACCGGCCATATTGTAGGAGCATTAACTTCTAGAAACATACAAGTTTCACATTTCACTCCAACTGTCATTCAAATGTGGAAAAAAGGTTCTCTCACTTTTCAATGAAAATATCAATAATATATTTTTTTTAAAGGTTTACTGTTGACTGTTGTTTTCATATGCTCTCTAATATAGCCAATAGGGTATTTCACTTGAGGAAAATCAGGTCCGAAGAATAACAGCAAATGCTTCCAAAACTATTTCCTCTTCAACTCTGATAGTTCTCTCTCGGACTCGCCGGAAGAAGTAACGACGTCTGCGGCGGGTTCAAAGACCACGATGCCGCCAACCAATCTGAGTTCAAGAGGAAATTGTTCAAGAAGCCTATTGCTGTTCTTGTATTGAACCCGGTTTGCCTCAAGTGAGTGAAATACAGTGTCTGTAAGCGTCCATCATTAAGATAAAAAAATGCACATTCTTGACTACACACACTGCCATCCTGAGTGCTTCCTAATAAAAAATATCTGGGACACCATATATACAGTGTTGATGGGTAATTGAAAGAAAATTTACTGACCATGAGAAATACAAAGCTTCAAATAGAAACGGAACTGAAATAAAGAAGAAAATAAGTTCATTTCAAAACTAAGAGGCATATTTATTTTGATAAACTAATGTGCCTGATAAAAAAAATTAATCTGGTTAACTTAAAGCACTCAAAGCTGAGCAATGTGTGCTTAAAACAGGCACAGTTGGTTCACACCAAGGTCACCTGCATTCATTTTGAAATGAATTTTACTTTTCTCAACTATGTCCTTTACCAAGTTACCTAAAATTTGGAAATTTGTACAGGGGTCATTACAGATTAGCCGAGGTAAACATGGCACAAATTGGGCACAAACAGCATAATAACAAAGGTATTGTCTAGAACCTCACAGGACACGTCACCACGTCTTTTATGGAAAACATGGTTCACGCATTAGGTGATAACTAAGTGGAGATGCACATATAAAAATATACACCAATTTTCGCCATTAACTAGAGAAAAAAGCTGGATACACTGGGGCCCATTCCATACTAGTACTGACCTGCAGCATCAAAACAAGCCATGTCAGCTATCCATAAACAATCTGATTGACTACTCTAGGTCAGTGCTTTTAAGAGGGCCCCAGAGTAACAACATCTCGAATCTACTTTGGTAAAAACAACTTAAGGTTAAATAAAATCATCACAAAACTTAGCGCAATCGGTGAAACAGTAGCTGTTTCCCTTCCTTGTGGCGGTCTTTTAGTTTCAATGTATCAGTAAGAAAGAAAGAGGTCAAAAAATGTCACAAGCAAAGGATGAGCTGTGTTTCTCCATTTAACGCCCCTCAAAAGGAATTCAATGCATCCCCTTCATCAGCTCCCATTGGGATGGCGACAAGAAAATATTCAAAAAGGTCTCATTGGATAAAAAAAATTTACAAAACATGGACTTCAATAACATTAGGAACAAATTGGTTTCGGATAATTATTTTCAACAACAAATATTATAACTGTACAATATTAGAAGTATACATTTTCACTATACAACAACTTCAAACCAAGCAAAAGGGAATGGTAACTAAATCATAACAATCACTATGCTGGAGACCAGTATGGTGGAAACATTTTTCCTAACTCTTTTGTACATAAACGGGCAGATATAACTATGTTTATAACAATTTTCACATCTCGAATAAGTTGACAGCCAATGGCGAAAAAGAGGACACAATAATCATGCCATAACTTTTCACATAACATATCCCCAACAATAATATTTCCTCTCCAGTCTCAAAATCTGTGGAAATTACAAAAATCAGTAGGTAGAGTAGTTGTTCCGACTGCTCACTTCAATTTTGATAACACAGAAGGAGATAGTTGGTGTAAACAACATCTAAAGTATCATGGTATGCAATCCGATTTTCACTAGTGATTCGGATTGTTCACACATATCAGATCCTCTGATGTTTAGCTAAACGGAGAGTCCCTCAGTCCAGGAGTAACTCCAAAGAGTGGCTAGGTGGGGTAGAGTGGAGACACTGCGAGGCTCACGCGAGGAGTATCTCCATGCTGCTGGGGAGCGCCTCGGACCAGGAGTATCTACTGCGCGGCGAGCTGTCGCCACACGTTGTGTCACATAGAGCTCATGTAGGGCCAGTTGAAAGACGATCCGGATAGAAGCATGTCTCTGATGAGGGTCTCGATAGGCGTCTTCCCCACAAGTCTGACGAAAAACAGCTGCTCTATCACCTGCAACACCAAGAAAAACGGAGTCAGACATTAGACACACACGAACGACACACCAAGTGGATAGGCTATTGCATGAACGTCGGGGGGAGGGTCGAAGAACTCTCTTGTTCATTCTCTCGAACCCCAACAGCACGCTGTTTTGTGTTCGCCAAACTCACCTGCGACGAGACAGTTCGAAGGGAGGGTAGCCGCAACAGCAACTTGCCGAACCGCGTGGGCTGGTTGGGGTACTGGGTGCGGCAGTACTCTTCGAGCGCGCACTGGGACTTCTCCTGGAGGCTCTCGATGTGCGCCACGTCGGAGAGGCCGCAGGCATCTGCGAAGAGCAAAGAGATCAGAGTTAGAAACAAGGAGTGCCCATTGCATCGACATTGCCGGAGAAGGAACTAAAGAAAATCCCTGAAACAATAATATTCCCGGAGAAGAAAAAGAAAGTCACTTGGGGATGATGGGCGCCAGGGAAAAAGAGGGGGGGGGGCGGAGTAGGCGCGCACCCCTCTGACCCCTTCTCCCCATCTACTCTCCATCTCTTTCTCGCGCTTGCAGGAGCGAGCGGAGAGAGAGCGAGAGAGAGAGAGCGAGAGAAAGAGAGAGCGAGAGAGAGAGAGAGAGCGCGAGAGAGAGAGCGAGAGCGAGCGAGAAAGAGAGCGAGAGAGCGAGCGAGAGAGAGAGCGAGAGAGCGAGCGAGAGAGAGAGCGAGAGAGCGAGCGAGAGAGAGAGCGAGAGAGAGAGAGAGAGAGAGAGAGAGAGAGA